CCCCCGGCCCTTCCGGGTTTTTTGTTGGCCCCCCCCCCGGGGGTGTGGGGCCCCCCGGGGTTCCCCCTCCCCCCTTTTTTTTTTTCCGACCCCCATTTTCCCCCCCCCTCCCCCGTTGGGCCCCCCCCCCCCCCCCCCCCGACCAGTACGGACAAGCGATCCAGTCCGTCGGAGGCGTTTTGGAGTACTTTGACGACGACAGGCGCTTCCCTCTCTTCGGCTTCGGCGGCTGCCCCGTGTACCGAGCGCCGGCGAGCCACTGCTTCGCGGTCAACGGCAACGAGAACGATCCCGAGGTGTTTGTTTGCTTTCGTCTTTCGTGAAGTCTCGATGTTTCCCGCTTTGTCCTTCCTGTCTTTTGTGTGTGTGGCATCGGTTAACGGCGACCTGCGCAGCTCCAAGTTTGTCGCCCTTCTTTGTCGTCGTTTCTGCCGGAAGTTTCTTGTACCTGTCGGAATTTTGCCGAACCTGTCGGGAATTTTGTTGCACCTGCTCCGCAGTTGTCTTCGGCGTGTTCCTCGTCCAGTTTTGGCTCTTGTGCTTCTTACGTCACAAAGGGTGGGGTACCATACATACCCTTGGCAGAAGTTTGCTTGAGGGCTGAGTCAACCCCTTTGACCTGTCACGGTAGGGGTCGTGCAAGGGGTTCCGTGTAGGATAGGGAGGGGGGGGGGTGATGAGGGAACTATATCTCCAACCACACGTACCCGGCGGATCCAACAAGCAGTTCACCAGCTATCTCTTACCTCTTACCTCCTCCTCCTCCGACCGACTGACCGCTGTTGTTGTCTGTGCATGCTTTTGTGTGTGCTCAATTTTCGTCGTACTACAACCACATCAAAGGTTGAGGGAATTGCGGGGGTGCTGGACCTGTACCGCCAGAGCCTGACCCGTGTGCAGCTGAGCGGACCCACTCTCTTCGCTCCGGTCATCAGCCAGGTAAGACATACGACGTCCTCTATGCATATTCCAGTACGATACGACCCGTGTCTTCCCTACTTTTTGTCTTTTCTTCGTCCCATCCCTCCGTCCTGTCGAGGACGCGTGGCCAGTGGTCTAACCGCTGAGGCATTCGAAACATGAGGGCACCCCTCGAGAACGCGTGGTCAATGGTCCAACCGCTTTGGCGAGCACAGCATGAGTACCACCCCCCCCAGATCCCTATTTTGTCTTTGTTGCGAGGCCCTACCGGTCGGTATTTGTCGCCGCCTCCGTGTTGTTAAAGGGTTGTGCACGGGATGCGGTGTCGAGTAGAGCGGGATCCCCATTAAACGTGGGTGGGAGAGGGCTTGACCATTTTCTCAATGCGCGAGATCCTGGAGGTCCCGATTTGTTATTCATGTTCCCCTTGCTTTCGGTGCTTCGATTTGGTGGCTTTATGGCTGAACTGATGCGTTGTGAAGATTATGGATGCCCCATTTGACTCAGGTTCGCCCGTTTAATAGTATATTTCATTGTGTTTTTTTTTTGGTATAGTGCGTCGCCAAAGAGAAATATACCTTAACACAAAAGAAACCCACCTAACCAATATCATTTTTGATATAGCATACCTACATTTATGCTTGTGCGACGGAATTTGTTTTTGACCGACGTGCTCCTTGGGCGCGACACCCGCAGGCGGCTTCCTTGGCGGCTTCCACGATGACCAAGGACCCGTCCCAGCAATACTACACGATCCTGCTGCTCATCACCGACGGGGCAATCTGCGACATGGAGAAGTAAGCCTGTCTCTCGCGCGTGTTCGGGGGATTGGCCACGATCGGTTCCTGGTGGGGGGGGTGTTGACGGAGGACTTGAATCGAGCGCACGCCGATGAACTAACACCACCAACCAGTATCAGCTAGATGCATTCTTCTTGCCTCCGATGCCAGGTACACACATATTGGTAGATGTAGAGCTTCTTTCCCCCTCTCGCTTGCCCGATGCCTTGTTCACACGGTTTTTTTTTCATCACGGAACCACTGCCTTCTAACGAACCACGACTTGCGTGCGTGGTCTCTTGCGCTTCGACGGTGGCAGCACGGTGGAGGCGATTGTGGCAGCAGCCGACTACCCGTTCAGCATGGTCATGTGAGTATTCTGTGTTGTTGTGGTTGGTGTCGTTGCGGTTGTCGTTGTCGTTGTCGTTGTCGTCGTAGTTGTTGTTGTTGTTGTTGTTGTTGTTTTTGTTGTTGGCGGTGATGGTGGTGGTGGTGTTGCTGGTGGTGTTGATGAAACCAATCTACCCCATCTCATCACGTTGCAAGTACTCCCGCACTACTACGTGGTCGGCCTGAACGTCCTTTGCCAAAGCATACTCAACACCAAAATGACACTTTTTGACTCTTGACTGTCGACTGTTCCGCCTCTTTCCTCGACCACCAACGTATCGGAAAAAACGTGCCGGTAGCGTAACTTCTGTCTGTCTTCATCATTTCACTCTCTTGTCCCCGGTCCTTCTCTCCTTTCCTCGTCGCCGCTGCCATCTCCCTTGTTTCTATCTGTCTGTCTCTCGCTCTCTGTCTCGCTCTCTGTCTGTCTGTCTGTCTTGTCTGTCTTGTCTGTCTGTCTGCCTGTCTGTCTGTCTGTGTCTGTCTCTCTCTCTCTCTTCTCTGTCTTTCTCTCTGTCTGCCTGTCCGTCTCTCTTTCAATAATCATCCCGTCTCTCTTGTGTCTGTTTCTGTCAAATACTTGAACAACACACAACAAACAACGATACCATCACCAACAACCGCAAACGCAACAGCGTTGGCGTTGGCACGGCCGACTACGCCTCCATGGAGCAGCTAGACGGCGACGAAGTACGCCTCGTCAACCGCGCAGGGCAACGGGCAGGAAGAGATATCGTGCAGTTCGTGCCGATGAGAGACTTCGCCGGCAAGAGCTCCCACGCTCTCGCGAAAGAGGTGCGTGCGACCCTTGAACACGATGTTTCTTGCAAAAGGAAGCAAACATTTGCCCGGGGGAGGCGGAAGCGGGAAAAATATAGTGGTTGCTGTCGTTATTGTTGAGGGGCTGGTTCTCACGGCAGCAGCGCTCATGGGGGGGCGGGAGCGGAGGGGGTCGTTGCCGTGGGAGTCGTAGGGCCGATTCGCACAGCAGCAGCGCCGGCACCCATGCTGCTGCTGCGCATCGATTCCGTCTTGCAGCAGCAGCAAGCGTCGATTTTGTCTTGTTGCTGGTGTACACTGAACCATATATCTCGGGGTGATGTGTACCCGGATGGGCCTACTAGCTAGTCAGACAGGTTTGGAGAGTGTGACTCGAGGCCTAAGGGGCCAGCCCTAAACCTTCGTCGCGTCCTACTTGCCGGACGGTGTTTTGATCCGGCGTAGAGGAAGGCTAGAGAAAACAGGGCGGAGAGTAGACAAGAACATGCGATCTGATTACTTAGGGCGATGTATCACAAGCAAGAAGGTCGTTCTTAAAATTGCAGAATCTAATAAAGTATGAACGTCAAGACTTTCTACCCTTCTTCTTGATCACCGCCGCCGACAAAAAACGTTGGGTCTTTGAGAAACCATCCCCCTGCCCTCCCCCTCATGCCGCAGGTCTTGGCAGAAATCCCCGCCCAAGTAATCGAGTACATGCAGAATAACCACATCCCTCCGGGAAACCCGCACCGGCCAAGCTTGGCCGGTCGCCAGGGTTCTATCGGCTCCATGGCTCTCAAGGTGCGCTCACTGGAATGTTGTTCGGCCCCCGGCGGCGTCTTATGTAGCCGTGTGTTGGGGGAAAGTTTAAGCATTTTTTTGCGGCAAACATAGTTAGCTGGAGAGTAGAGGGGGACAGGAGCATGTAGGCCTTGAAAGCTCTGTGCAGAGCGTGTATCGCCGTTTCCGGGAGTTTGAAGTTTTGATTTGGTCGCAGGACTGGAGGCTGTTCTTTGCTAGGCGTCCGCCATTGACCGTTGGTGGTATTGAAGCAAGACGCTGCGTGGGTGTGCGCTTGGGTGTGATCGTCGAGATGCCGCGTCGTACCTGCGCCCGTCACCCCCTCAAGCATTGTTCTTTTGGGTTGACCAAACTGAACAAACTGATATCGCCTGTTTTTCTCACGTGGCTAACCACCATTCGTTTTTGCTTCGTTCTAAGAAACGTTGTTTGCCGGCATTTCTCCCCTTGCACCGCGCCCAACATATCACCGGGCTACCACCACGTCACCGGGCTAATCCGGCCTTGCTCAGGAATCGTTCATGCACAACGGCGCGGCGCCAGTGCCGGGACTCCCGCAGGTATGCTATGCTTGGCTCGTCGAAAGGCTTACCGTTGGACAATATACAGTTGGGGGGGAGGATGTTTAGTGCCGGTTTGTGCCCAGAAATCCCAGAATCGACCCGCACAAAACCTGACAACGGCACTATTCACAGTACAGAATGGCTTGGCGATTTGTGCCAGCCGAATGAACCGGCACTAGACCGGCCGCCGGCACTACTCAACCGGCACTAAACAGGGCCCCCTACTGTTGTACCAGTTTTCTTCCCCTTCGCTAGTTGACGGGATACCATGTCAACATCCCCCCTAAAATTTCAGGCATATACATTGCCTTTGGTTCTGTTTCGCTAATAGTGTACGTTTGTTAGGCTTAACGCGATTTTGGCTTCATTGATCGGCGTGTCTTTTTCTCCTTTTCGTTTTGGCGCCCGGCGGCGACGAGCAGTATTATTATGTACAAAGGGACACCCAAAACTCTTTTCGAATTTCGGTTCTGTCGAATTTCGGTTTACTTTTTTTTTTCTCTTTTCAGGGGGGCTCGTTCGTGAACCACCAGGCACCGTCGGCGGCTCCGTCTTTCCGGGGGCAGCCCCAGCAATACAATCAATCGCAACAGGTGAAGAGGGCAGGGGACCTGCTGCAGGCCACAAGCGCTACCAACTCTGTTCGGAAACGTAGGGACCATTTTGGTGTTCGCCCTTGTACCCGAACGGCCCTTATATTTTCAAACATAATTGTTTTATTAGCACTTGCAGGCGATGAAAAAAGAAAAAATGGTGGTTTCACTGGTACCGGTGGTTGTTAACTGTTAACACCTCCTTGCGGAATTATGTGTTGGTTGTCTTGTTACCCCCCGTGCATCCTTGTGCCCCTTTCCTTCCCCTCACGCTCCGTTCTTGCCTTTGGGTTGACGTTTACTGCCCCCACCCCCCCTCCTAGCCCCCCCCCCACCCCACCCCCCCATTTTTTTTCTTACAAGGGTCTTTTTTGGCACCCCAGGGGGGGGGCCCCAAAGCCCCCCACCCCCCCCCGCAGGGGGGGGGGGGGGGAAAAAAGGGGGCCCCAAAAAAAAAGGGACCTTATAAGGGGGGGGCCCCAAAAAAGGGGGGCGAACTGGGGGGGGGGAGGGGCATTTTTTACACCCCCCTCTTGTATCGGGGCCCCCACTGCCATTTAAAAAACCGGTTCAGCGGGGTGGGCAATGAAAAGGGGCGGGGTTACTGCGGGTGGAGCCGGAAAAAAAAAAAGAAAAAACTGCTGTTTGGGCCGAGGGGGCCCCCGAGGGGGGGCCCCCGGAGGAAAAATTCTACGTTTTGCGGGCCC